TCTTTTTGCTTATGTGGTGCTGAGGAATCGAACCCAGGGCCTCAGGCATGCAAGGCAAGCACTCTACCACTGAGCCATCTTCCCAGCCCCTGGTACTGGGGTTTTCAACCCAGGGCCTTGAGCTTTGAGATACTCACTCTTCCACTGGATCAATGATGCACACAGCCCTTGTTGGTGTAATTTCTTTTTTATAGAAGACCTCAGGTTTTCCTCATGCCTAGCCTTACAGTGTGATCCTCCTTTATTGCCGGGATTATGGGCATGGCCCATTCTACCCAATCACCTTCCTGGCTTTTGAGGAGCAAACTGACTCAAGTATTTACACTGTAGTGATATATTCTCTAAGAAATACAAGTAATCATCAATTAGATCAGATGAGTTCCCAGGTTAAACTGACAATAGCAGCTTGAGATTAAACACAGTCATGCATTGATATAACCTATCGTATTACACTACATTCAAATGGGTCTACTTTTATCCTAAATTCAACTTCTACAGCTATCAACAAAACTATTTTCATTATCTGTGTTATGCCAAAAAATCCCAGTATTTGGAAACATAAGCAATGTAGGAAAGGGAAAGTTTCACAGTAACTAGTTGTCACTAAACTTTAAACTATTTATAACTTTGAGTCATTGTGTCATTATGAGAAATCTAAGGGAACAAATGTAACTTTTTAGAACTATGGGGAAAGGGGCTTTGAAAATGAGTTTAACTTTTTTAATCTATAAAGAACACAAACAGAGCACAGAAAAAAAAATCGGCCTTTCTGCAGATTTAACTCTGTAATGCATTATGGAGTTAAACATTCAACTCTGTATGTTATCCTAGGACATGTTAATAGTACAATGTGTCATTAGGAGAGGGTAACAACTTTTTCAAATAAAAAATCAGTAGTAAACATGCATTTCAGAACTGCCATTTTCGGTTTTGACCAGAGTTCACTTGACATTTAAAAACAATATGGTTAGGGGCTGGGAAGGTGGCTTAGTGGTAGAGTGCTTGCCTAGCATGCATGAAGCCCTGGGTTTGATTCCTCAGCACCACATACACAGAAAACGCAGGAAGTGGTGCTGTGGTTCAAGTGGTAGAATGCTAGCCTTGAGCAAAAGAAGCTCAGGGACAGTGTCCAGGCCCTGAGTTCAATCCCCAGGACTGGCCAAAAAACAAAAACAAAAAAAAACCAATATGGTGTGGTAAGGCACAGCTATAGTCAGAACTGGGAAGGCTGGCTTTGAAGGGTGAGAGTTCAAAGCCAAAGTTCATAGCCAAACTGAGTCGCCCCACAAAAGGAAGGAAAAAAACCCCACCTTCCAATGGGGGCAAGTAGTGGAGCAATCCACTTTCCAAGGGACTCTCCTGCCTCAGGTGTACCGAGGCCTTCCATCCCACTGTTGAGGAGCAGCAATTCCAGTCCCTCACTGGTGGTCTGGGATTTGGCTATAATCATTTCCTGTCTACAAATGCTTTGGGTCTGAGGAGATGGACACACCCTCTTTCCCCTCACATAACCAGTTTATCAAATCTCACTCATTTGCAATTAGAGTCAACATGTTGACTCTCCTTTCTTACATCTTACACTAACAGGAAAAAAAATTTAAAAAACAAGTTGAAAGTTCGCTTGGTTGTTTAGAATTGGACAACTTTGTCTCTCATTTTGCAGCCCAGCTGATCCCATCATTCAACTATTATGTTCTTTTTTTTTTTTTAATAAGGAGTTTCCTTTAGAAAACTTCTCCCACAAAGGAATCACAAGTTGTTGAAAGGCAGGAAAGCAAAACAAAAGGCACACACACACACACACACACACACACACACACACACACACACACACACACACACACTTGGATTTATTACATAGTCCATGCTTAGGAATCTTGCCAAACTGTGGTATTTTGTTAGCTGCATTAGGCTTCGTGCTTGCTCTGCAGGGCTGAACTTCAACATCTGCTTTGATCCTGGCAGATACGTTGGCTGCAAATCTCTGCTCTGTGGATGTCCTCCTCAGGCCTACAAAACTTCCAGCAGACACAACCCACGCTCCGTGCGTGCCTCTCCCCGGCTCTGGAGCTGGTGCTGGGGCCTTGAGGATCCAGTAGAGTTCTGAACTAATCAACAAGTCTTAGCAGCAGACTTGCAATATTTAGATGCCTGGAAAATAGCTGCAGGTTACTAAAGCACCCACCTTTGGAATTCTGAGTCATCTTCCTGGAATGCAAAGTGGGGTAAATAGGTTTCCACCCAGCCTTCTATCTCCACCTCCTGGAAAAGATCTTGAACGAAGTACACATTTCACAGTATTGGCCCTCAGGCTGCGCTTCCTGGAAGTAACTCTCCCAGCCTTTGGGGAGAAATACACTTCCTTACTAAGAATCATGGGAAGCCTGGAAGCTAGGCCTTGGCCAGGCCTTGCTGCCCCATGGCTGCGGCCGCAGCTGACCTCCCACTGAGGGCCTTCATCAGCCCATCCAGCCGTGTGGCATCCTGGAGGCCTATTTCTTAGTGAGGAGTGCAGGCCCTGATCAGGTACACTCTATTTCTGCCTGTAACCCACACCAAACTTCCCATGTTGCTCTTCTGATGCCATCGCTCTGCCATCTTGTTTGTAGACTCTCTTCCCATAGCATAACACGTGCTCAAGGAATAAGATGCATTATGATATTAATAAGGGTGAGCAAGGTAACTGAGCAGTGAGAGTCCTATGGAAAGCAATGTATTTCCATTTTTGTTATCATGCTAACATTGCCTCTGATTTTGCTGGTCAGTTAACACACATGCACACACACACATACACACACACACACACACAGAGCTTCATTTTTATTAGTTATTATCTTTAGCGTAATGGTCTCAGTCCTAAGAAATATTAGGAAAGAAAATGAAAAGAATGCCCCCATGCAATGATACATAACTGTAATCCTGGTCCTTTATTTAGGAGGCAGAAGCAGAAAAATTGGGAGTTCAAGGCCAGGCTAGGCAATATAGCTAGATTCCATCTAAAAAAAGACAAAGGAAAAGGAACTAGTCATTTTCACAGACAATTATGGGCACAACAATGACAAGGGGACATTCTCGTGCCTCAGTTTACTTCCTAACACGAGCCAATCTGGGGAACTCATTACCCAAAGTAAAACAACACCAGACACCCCCATTCCTTCAAGCAGCATTTTTCTGTTCCTCACTGGTGGTATTTCTTTTCCAGAATGCAATATTACCTTTTTTTTTTTTCCAGCAGAATCATTTCTTTGCCTTTGGTAAGTGGATCTAACCTGCTTCTCACATAGAGAAGTTTCTACTTGAGTCTATACAACATCACTGTAGAGAAAAATCCTTGTCTGCATTCATATTCAAACCACACTAAAACTGCTTCTCCAGAGCAGGTTCCATTGGGTACAAGGCCGAGGTAATGTTTGTTGGAAGAGCTCAGTTCCACCCATGAAGTTTTCTCTAGCACAAGTCCCAAAAGTCAACATGAAAAGAAGAGGCCCTGGAAATACCTACCCTATTGTCAGAACTGGAAATTAAATCTCACTTTCTTCTGACCACATTGTGGTCCAAGTTAAAGCGGCCTTGTACATCTCCTAGGGAAGCCGGGCGTTTCCACCACTGGCACCTTGTGAAATGTTTTAAGATTTTTGCCATCACAGACATAACATGTCTAACAAATTCATTTTACAGTTTTGTTTTTAATGAGATTTCTCCCCCATAAGAAGAGCTTCCTGTTTTCCATATCCCAACCTTATTATCCAACAGGGCTCCAAGATGGTTCTATATTAAGTATATTCCATAGAACAGTTCATTTCTCTTCAAATGAAAGCATGAGCCCAGACCCAGCAGTTCACATACCATTCCCCAAGTCTCTGAAAAAGTTGGGGTACAGTCCAAAGTAGCCAGCAAGTTCCAGACCCAATATTAAATTTCCTGGTCTTCTTTGGAACCAGCTCTCCCACACAACCATTTTTCCCCTTCTTTATTTAGTGACTAAGAAAAACTCTCCTGGGCTGGTCATTTACATTTCTAGTCAGATAAAAAGCACAGGAATTATGTCAGAATGAGTTGGACTGTGTTTGCTGACAGAAAAATAGTTTCAAAGTAGGAGTGTGAGGAAATAGCAAAGAAACAAAAGCTACCCAAGCTTTCTGGGCAGCTTTCAATCTCATAGGAGGAACAGAGATAAAACACTCTTTTCTTTATCTAAACGTCCACAGTAGCACAGTCGCCAATAACATTGCACAAATTAACACCGTCTGGTTGAATGAGATTATTAGAGAAAATAAAGCTTTGTTGGGGTGAGAACAGGGAAAAGAAATCTTTGAATAGAGTGAGGTTATTGTTGTCATTTTACTTACTCATTTATTTATTTTATTATCTTTAAGCCTTTGTCCTATAATAAAAACAGACAGAAATACTGGTGAGGAAGAGGGGAAGGAAGAATCTTGTTTACAGCCTGGGTGGGATGTTAATTAATCCAGCCACTCACTGTGGAGTTTCCTCAATAAATCAAAACTAACAACTACCATATGACTGAACCACCTTGCAGTAGAAAGTCGTAGATGTCTGTGTTTACTGCCATGCTGTTCATAGTTGGTGAGTCATGGAATCGGCCTACGCGCCCATGAGTTGGTGAATTGGAAAAAGATGTGTGGGATATATACAGTGAAGTATTTTGCAGCCACAAAAAAAGGAATGAAATCCTGTCCTTCCTATGAAAATGGATGAGATGGGAAATCATCATGTTAGTGAAATAAACCAGACTCTGAGGATCAGTATCAATTGGGTATACTACTTAAGTCACATCTCCACTTTCTTTTTATTTTTTTTGTCAGTCATGGGGCTTGAACTCAGGGCTTGGGCGCTGTCCTTGAGCTCTTCAGCTCAAGGCAAGCGCTCTACCGCTTGAACTACAGCGCCACTTCCAGTTTTCTAGTGCTTTATTGGAGATGAGAGTCTCACGGAGTTTCCTGCTCGGGCTGGCTTTGAACCGTGATCCTCAGATCTCAGCTTCCTGAGTAGCTAGGATTACAGGTGTGAGCCACCGGCGCCCGGCCTTCACATATCCACTTTCACAAATGGTTTTTGACATCTGTGAATACAAGGAGAAAAAAAATATCAGCTGCTAAGGAGGCAGGGATAGGGAGGATGGAGGTTTAAGGCTAGCCTAGGCACAAAGTTACTATCACCCAATTTCAATGACAAAGCAAAGCATGGTGGTCTCTACCTGTAATCTCAGCTGTGCGAGGCAGAGACAGAAAGATTGCAGTCCAGTGTCTATTGTGGGGGCAAAAAAACACCAAAGTAGTTACTGAAAAAGTAACTGAAACAATAAAGGGCTAGAGGTGTGGTTCAAGTGGTAGAGCACCAGCCTAGTAGGCACTGAGTTCAAACATCAGTATCACCAAAAAAATAAAAGTCAGAGTGATAGGAGGTCATTATAATCCAAGGACATACTGCATACAGAAATCTGTGCCCGTGAAACCTAGTATTTTTACAATTATTACATATTGTACAAAATATCTTAAAAGCCAGGCACTTAGGGCTCACACTTGTCAACCTAGCTACGGAGAAGGCTGAGATCTGAGGATCAAGGGTCAGAGCCAGCTTGGCAGAAAAGCCCATGAGATCCTTGTTTCCGATGAGCTAGCAAAAAGCCAGAGGAAGAGTTGTGGCTCAAGTGGTAGAGCACTAGCCTTCTTCTGAGAACATAAATTAAAGACCCAGTACTGGTGCGCACGTGTACACACAAACACACACTCACTCACTTTTAAAAATATTTTATAAACAGAAAAGTTCTGCTTTCTTCTGTGGACTCCCCGGCATGTGCCATCGGTGATTCTGAAGCCATATCTACTACAGGACTGACTAGGAGGACTAGTAAGTGCGCTTAGTCCCAACAAGGAGGTCTGAAAGAGGTAAGAACAACCTGGGAGTGGTCTGTCTCCAGGGACAGAGCCTCTGGAAGGTGCCCATTCCATCTCTGCTGCTAACGTCTTGCTCTTCCGTGTGCCAAAAGCCTGTTTCGTTCCAGCCCAAAGCTACAGTTTAGAAAAAGCATTTTTGCTCCCTTAGGCCTTTATGAAAAGGAGGGAGACTCATGGGTTGGGGGCGGAACCAGCCTTCCCTTTCCCCTTGGACACACAACCACTCAATAAATAGAACAGGTGCCCCTCTTAATCCCTTCCCTTAGTCTGGCTCTCGGTCAGTAGTTCTTGGTCCCCATCAGTTTTCCTATTTTATTATTGGCACTATTCAATCACTACCCTCCACAGCTCAGGTGCACTGCAGTACCTGCTCCACATGGTTCCCTAGAGACAACAGGCCGGACCATAAATCGCCACCTACCCAAGATGGCCTGGAACTCATGAGCCTACTACCTCCATCTCTGGAATTCTGGGATTGCAGGCAGATGCCACCACACCACACTTGCCTGTTTTCTTTTCATATCTCTTTTATCTGTTCTGTTCCCTTTGGAACCAGCCTAGGTCAGATTCTCACTGACTTCTTGCCTCTGTTTCTCTCTCTCTTTAAACACTTTTTATTGTTATTATAAAGGTGATCTGTAGAGAGGGGTGACAGTTACGTAAGTCAGGCCAAGAGTACATTTCTTTTTGGACAATGTCATCCCATCCCTCATTCTCTCCCAGTTTTTCCTTTCTTGTTTTTGTTGTTGTTGTTGTTGTTTGTTGGTCGTGGGGCTTGAACTCTGGGCCTGAGCATTGTCCCTGAGCTCTTCAGCTCAAGGCTAGCACTCTACTACTTGAACCACAGTGCCACTTCTGATTTTCTGGTGGTTCATTGCAGATAATAGTCACAGCCTTTTCTGCCCGGGCTGTCCTTGAACTGTGATCCTCAGATCTCAGCCTCCTGAGTAGCTAGGATGACAGGCGTGAGCCACCGGCTCCTGGCTTCCAGTTTCTCCTCTGTAACCCCGTCTCTCCTTTCTAATTCATTACATTTGGATCATTTGCTAAACCATTATAGCAAGCAAACACTGTCCATGCAGAGGAGACCGTCCAGCCCTCCAAAAGAAAAAGAAAACAGTTGGGATAGAATTATTTTTAAAATGCACATAATATATAACAAAGAAGAGACAGAGAAAAAGAAAGAGAGAGAAAAAAAACATGCAGAAGGATACAACCTTAGCCTGCCCGAGTTCCTGAGTTTGAGTCCCACCATCAATAAGTAAATACCTTTTAAATGCACATATACCTTAGATACTTCATTTAACTATTTGCTAGACTTTTCACGGAGGTGGAAGAAGACTTGGAGGCTGCTGCCACTAAAGGCATTGGCTCTTCCCTTGAGCTTACAGCTCTCCCTTGGGGCACTCAAGGCCGGATCCTTTGGTTCCATATCTTTGCCTTCAAATTGCATCTTTCTCTTAAACTTTGGGTCAGATTCCTGCTCAACTCTGCACGTAGATACGCTAATCACTGAAGGAGGCTTTGTCTGAAACTTAAGACAACGTCATAATCCACAGAGGAGCAAGCACAAGCTTTGACAACTTGCAGTCATAACCCACCAGAAGAGCCTGGACTCTATGCCATCTCCCAAACCTGAAGGAAGTCTGAGTGTCCTTCCTAACTAACTCTGTCCAGCCTTTCCGACTTGTCCTTCATCTCAAGCATTCCCCGCAGCAGCTAAGTCAGATTCCAGGAACAAGAGATCCGACTGACAAGCCTCAGCAGCAGCTAAGTCAGAGTCCAGGAACAAGAGATCCGACTGACAAGCCTCGGGAGACAAGAGTTCAAACTAGCCCACAGGCAACAGGAACTTCTTTTTCCTTTGTTCCTTTTTATTTTTGTGGAGAGCGTGGGAGAGGTGAGGCTAGGCCTCCACCTAAAGCCCAGGCTAGCCTCAAACCTGTAGGCCTCGGCCCTCAGCCTCCTGATGTTGGATTTAGGGACACGCTTGACAGTTAGCAAGACTGGCTTCTTATTCTAGCAAGGCTCTGTATGTCCAGTCCTGAGAGATAATGATCAAGCAGAGCTCAGCCCTAATCAACATCACCAGTTCTGGAATTCTCTGGCCCTTGCTATTTTGCCTCCTCCTTATAATTCCAAACTAATTGTTAGCCCCACCAGGACTGGGACCAGGGTGGTGTTGCTCTGATTTCTTCTCATCCTGAGGATAAGTTCCCTTTCTGCATCTACCACCACTGACCTCTGACTTGCTCAGCTGAGGCAAGGAGCCAAGTCTAGTCTATTGAAACACTCAAAATCAGGTCCCTGCCTAGGACTCTGATAACACAGGTCCAAGACGATTCTACTTGGCTGAATGGATATAGTCCTAAAAATAAGTTTAAGGAAAGAATGGTTGGCCTGTCATCAAAACAAAAATACATCAATTGCCAAAAGCCTATGTAAAGATACTGAATGAATACCTTTAGCCACTAGTGAACTAAAAATTAAACCTCGATGGCCCAGCACTGGTGGTTCGTGCCTATAATCCGAAATACTCAGGAGACGGGGATCTGAGGATCACAATTCAATGCCAGCGCAGGCAGGCAAGTCCTTGAGACTCTTTTCTCCAGTTAGCACCAATAAGCCTGAAATGGAGCTGTGGCTCAAGTGAAGTGGCCAAGTGTCAGCCTTGAGCACAAGAGCTCAGGGGCAGAACCTAAGCCCTGAGTTCAAGCCCTAGGACTACCACAAAATAAGACAGAACAACAACAACAACAAATAATGTGATGGAATGCTACCTTAGTCTTTAAAAAATACTGACAATTCCAAGTGTAACAAGAATGTGGTACAACTGGAAATCTCTTCCAGTGCCTCTGGGAGCGCAAAATGGGACCGCTTCTCTGGAAATCAGAACTGCAATTACTTAGCAAGTTAAGCACACGCTGACCATATGACCCTATAATCCATTTCTGGGGTCTTCATCCTAGACTAATAGAAACATATTCATTCCAAAATCCATGTCAGACTGCTACAGAAGTTCTATTTGTAACAGCCATAAACTAGAACCCAACCATTCTTTCGCAGGTGAATAGATGAACAAACTGTTATACATCCGTACAATAAAATACACAATGGAACAAAAGAATATACCTCCTACTTGTTTGGGTGAATCACAAAAGCTTCATGCTAAATGAGAAGAAACTCGTCTGACGAGATCATATCATGCATTATATCTTCATTTGCAAGGTTCTTGGGAGGCCAAAACTGTAGGGTTAAGGAACAGCTCAGAGCTTGCCTGGGCTGAGATAAAGGGAGTGAATGACTACAAAAAGATAACTGGGTGTTAATGGCTGACCTTGCAATCCTACAGGAGGCTGAGATCTGGACAGTCAAGATTCAACGCCAGGCTGGGCAGAAAAGACGACGAGGTTCCATCTTCCAATGGCCAGCAAAAAAAGAAGGCTGGAGGCATGGCTCAAGTAGCAGATGGCCAGTCATGAAGTCCAGTGACAGATTGAGATCTCTGAGTTTGAGCCCCAGAACTGGCACGCACATACACGCAAGCACGCACGCATGCACACACACACACACACACACACACACACACAAAGCATATAGTGTTCAAATCTTTCTTCTAATCCTCATGCTTTGCCTGAAGTCTTGCTAAGCATTGCTCTAGCTTTCACATAAGCCAGCAGGTGAACTGCAGGAGCTCAACGCCCTGACGGCCAATAACTGTGGGTGGGTGTGAAATGGAGAAACATAGCCTAAGACTTCTGCCACTTCATGGTCTCCCACACTGTGTCTCCTACCCCAGCAATAATGTGAGGTTCCCTTCAGTCAGGCTGAGGACAGCTGAAGATCAGTGAGAGTGCACCTTTCTCAAGGTCTCTTTCTATGTCCTCAGCCCAAGATGTTGTTCCTGTAGCTTCCTCTCGTCACATTGAACTCACAAACGATACAAAGTTGAGCAAATATCTTTAGCTGACCCCATCTACCTATCCCAGAATTTCTCTAGCCATTGTGAGGTAGCTTAATGTTCATGCAAATAAATACAGAGGGTTACATGGTTTAGGAGCATAGGAAAATGTACTCCACCGAACAAGAGATTTTAGGAGTGGGTAATTTTCACTGCAAAGAAGTTGTGGAATTCGAAATACATAGGATTATTACAGCTTTAAAA